AATATATTACCTTTCAATTTTTATTACAGATACAAAGCTTACGATCTGCAAATTTTATAAAGTGGAAAGTAAACACAGTCGAATTAAGTGAAAGGCGTGTGTTTTTATCGAATGATTCTCGTTTGTACCGTTACAATAATATCTCGAAACATTTTTACTAACTTTTGCAAGCTTTCAAGTTATTGACTGTTCTCACGGGTCTTCGTGTTTTATGGACGCTAAAAATAACACGTGGTACCTCGGTTCAAGTGGTTTTAATTTATTTTCAGTTCGAAGAGAGAATAAAATGAACTTCCTTCGGTTGAAATTGTTTCTTCTGAAGTGAACGATCGTTCGGTCAGGATTAAAGAAAAACATTTTATCTATCTCTAACATGAAAGTACGTGAAACGCGCAAAGTGAAGTAAAAGCACTTTTACCTGTTTCAAAGGAACAATATTTTTTTATAAATTTTGGACCATTATATTTAAAAAATTTGAAGATCGCGAAATTTTTTTCTTTAATCCTGTGTTACAAATTTTAAACTAAACTTAATCCTTCGCCGGCATTATAGGTCGTTTAGAGCCAGGAAAATATTTCATCTTTCAATACTTGCCGCCCAATTTTTATTTTTATTACAAATATCGTTAAATATTTCGCCCAACTAACACTTGTATATTAAATTAGAGACTTTAATAAGTATCTCAGAGTTTTTGTAGATTTTCTTACAGCCTGAAACAATAAAAAATTACGCTCGGCTATAAAAAAACTCGTAATGTCGGTCGTGTTAGTAAGAAACAATATTGGTGACGGAGGGTTAAGTAATGATATATAAGAAGAATCTATTTTGGCTGTAACTGGAATTGTCGCAATCAGATATTATAAATGTTTCAAAAATTATAAAAATTAATGTGTAATGAAATTTCTATTGACTCAGAAGAGCATTGGGTTCGGATGGAGAGTTAATTTAGAAAGAAAAAAACTAAAAATCCCTGAAAATTCAGCTACAAAAAATGTATTGAATTGTAATATGATATAATTTGTCTAAATAAATTTTCTTTTCATTTCTACAAATATCAGAGATAACTCGAACACTGATTTGAAGCGTTCGATAGAAATACATTTTCGTAAAATCAAATTTTACTGAATTTTTCTATGCAAATACGCCAGTATGCACCCTGGAAATAATCTGACGAACAAGCTGGGATCAGATTTTGGAGAATTATTCTGTCGGAGCGATATCTAGTAGCGTCGATCGTGGTGGTTGGAACTTTTAAGAGCATCATCCCCGTTATGCAGCGATAACATTGTTTCTCTCTGGCCCTCTGCTTTCGCTTGGTCGTTGCTCAGCCATGGAACAGATAAAATCGGTCGACGGTTCTGTTGGAAAGAAAAAGTTTCTTGGCTCTCGGCTCTCGGCTCTGTAGGAACACAGCACCGTTCGCAGCCAAAGTGCTCGGCAACTTAATATGATAGCGCTCGGTTGCCGCTCAGACGAGCCGTGCCACGCTCGAAGAGAGAGTAATATTGATCGACGAAGCGGGCTTACATCGTCCCAAGAGGGTGAGAGCAGAGCAGGAGGGGTTAGGTGGCGAGGGAGGGTCGTGCTCGAGGGTGCCACGAGGGCAGCCAACGGGGGTAGAAGGGTGACGCTGCTTGCTGGAGGGTCGAAGGGCGAACGCGCACAACCATGGCCAAAGGGTGGCCTTTCTTTCTCACCCCACTTTCACCTGGTTTGTTTTGCACGCGACTTTTCGTGGTACCCGAAGTATTCTTTGTACTTTTGCATCGTCTTCAGCTTCCCTTTTCCATAGTACCATTTCATTTCTTTGTCTAACTTTCTTTCTCTCCATGGAACTATCGTCATTTTTATTCGCTTTCCGAGAAATTTGATTGCTCTCGACGAGCATTCGTTTCCTTGAAATTCCACTTTTTTCCTGGAATTTACGAGCAGAAACTCTGGGCGAATTTACGCGAAGAACTCGCGTCATTAATATCGGCGTTTCCGCGACGATTATGCGTCTACCCTCCCCATTGTACGGCTGAATTATGAGCAAGTATGTGTGTCCATCGAGCGTGAGAATTGAACACAGGCAAGCTGCGGGACTAATAACTGTGATTAATGGCGTCGAATTCGTTCGAATTTGATCGCTTCGACGGGGATAAAGGTCCTTCGAAGGAAACTGATCGAGGTAATAATCATTGGAGAGGAAAGAATAATATTTGTTGTTGCGAGAGCTTAATACTTTTCTTTTTATTTGAAAATAAGGCGCTTTTATCAAGATAATTATTACAATCTATCGTCTAACTGAATTAATTTTTCCAAAAGAAAACAATTTTTAACATTATGGAAACTTGATATTTTCAGCTAATTATAATTATTAATTATTATAAATACATCTGGACTTTGAATGCTTTTAGATAGACAGTTAGATAGATATAATAAGAATAGTTTTCATGTAAAGTGTAAAACATCTGACGCGTTAAATTGAACTATTCATCAGAACTTTGAATATAAATTAGAATAGAGCTTAATTTAGAAATGGATAAACCGTGTAGCATAAATCGGGTATGAGGTATTTTTAAATGCGATTGGATTCGTAGCTAAAGCAAATTTGGACGAATGGAGAGATGTGATGGGATGGATTTCTCTACCGAAAAGAAGGGGCAGGTCTAAATTACCATTCATGAAAACGATTGAACCAGCATACTGTAATAGCCTCTGATAACGTTCAAACGCTAATTTCCTGTTTACGAGTGATTAGTTGCAAAAGAATTTGTATAGAGGGCAGTTAGATTCATTTTTTTCTTTCATGAAAATTACATGGTATTTTGTTTTCATACATTAATGGTACGTAGAACTCTTCCTATCGTGTCTATTATATGTTGCAATTTACAACTAGCAATTCTCTAAATCTAACAAAAACTTTATGCGGTCGTGTTTATCAAACTTTAAGCTATAAATTAATGTACGATACGTGCCATTTAATGGAATTTTTCTGTCATCAAATTGTATCAGACTTTACATGCAACAATGTAATCCTGTTGTATTTGACACGCAACCATTTTGTATTGCAAACCTTAATGGAAGGTACGTGTATGTAGTCATTTTCTCTAAACTTTATGCTTCAAATTGATGTAGAATGAGTGACATGTTGTGAAAGTTTTTTGTCATGAAATTTAGTTAGACTTCATACCTTTTGAAGTCAGTCATAGTTTTCTATAATTAACCACAATTCATTCTTGATGGGGTTATTTTCGTGAAACTTTATGATATGCCATAAGTGTCACTTTGAAATACTTTTATGTCGTGAAATCACGTCAGACTCTCCATCTTTCATGCGATATGCAACAACTTAATAACATTTCGCCTGGATTTCTTTCAATTTACAAGCGCCTTGGGGGAGATGATCGCGAAAGTCAGGCATACTTCTTTCCATGACCTGCATAGTTTTATCGAAAAATCTTGCCTGAATATCCCGAGAAGCGTTGTCGGTCCACATTCGAGCAGATCTCGCAGCTGCACGCCACGCGGAAAACTATCTCACGATTGTGCTCCCGATGGCCCCGGGCAACACGAGCGAAAAACTTTTCAATCGAGTTTCTTCGACATCCCACCACCCCCTCCTCCTCTTCTCCTCATCCCCTCGATGCTGTTTCCGTATCTTTTTTATTCGGTCGAAACGAACCCTACCAAACGAACGGAGCACACACCGACGACTTCCATCCGTGAAATTGTCGCACAAGTTTTATCGAATTCGCGAATTAATTTTCTCTCCCTTGTACTACACGTTTCTGTTCGTTTGTGGCGTTTGAACTTGCCTCCGGTGGAAGGCGGAGAGAAAACAACCGAGATGCGATAGGTTGAAGGGATATTTGGAGTCAGAAGGCCGGAAGTGAGGGGTTAAATCGTGTAATAGAATTGAGAACGGAAACTTTTGTTTTTGGGATGCTTCTGATCCTCATTTTTAGTGCACTTGGATCAAAGGTCATACCGATGAAATCTTGGATTATTGTTTAGTAAATTAATTATGTTTAATTTGATCCGATGAAGTTAAATAAAGGAACTTAAAAGCGTCCACAATTTCGAATACTAGTGTACAATAATCTTGAAATTAAAATTTAAAATAAAATAGAAATATTTCAGAATACCGAACAACTTTTTATTTGAAAATCTTTGAATAAGATTTTGGAACAAAAGCAAGTTATTTAAAAATAATGAAAAATTATTTGTTACTTTCTAATAATTTCGTTTTATTTATATAAATTACTACACTGATTTGTTTTATTTCTTGTTTTCTATTATTGTATCATGAATGTAAAGATACACACGAGTGAGAATTCTTTTTCGCCCCTCTTATCTCATCGGATGCAGCAGACCGAAGCTAATCGCAGGTGCATCGAAATCGAATTCGAGCCATTATCCTGGCGATGCGCGAATCAATCGGTCGTCAATCGATCGGATAATTCGACCTAGCTTGCCAACAGTCGGGACAGACATTGGGCCCCGATGTCTGGTGCACTTGACTGGATTTAAAAGTCGATCAAATCGTTTCTTATCAATGCAAGCACTTACCAACGGCGATACGACGGTAATTTTGTTTTTTTTTTTACACACCGTTGTGTATTTACGGAATACCTTCGTGACAATTGAAATCGGATGGAATTCGATTAACTTTCTTTCTCTACATTTAAAACGAATCATTTGATTTATTCATTGCAAATACCAATAAAATTATTATTAAGTGTGCAAATTAATTTGGTGCGTGCGATATTATGTTTTTCTAATTATTATTAAGAATTGGAATATTTGTCTCTCTCTTTTCTGGATTCGAAATGCTATTACTATAATTACTATAAATACAGAAATATTATTCACTCAAATAAAGTTTACTGTGATTAAAAATTATTATTTGCTGAATTGTAATACAAAATCCTCTAGAAAATTATTCAGTAATAAATTGTTCAAACAAACACGTCATTATAAATTTTCTCATATTATTTACATTTTTCTGTTCGCAGATCAAATAAGCGACGTGTGCAAGAAGAATTTCATGCGTGATCTCTATAGAAAGATAGATGGGGCTGTTCTCATATCGCAACACGAGAAAGACCTCGACTGTACCATCACATTTCAAACCCATAGCATTCTTCAACGATTTATGCTACGTTTTGATCAACTACAGTTGGACTGCAATGATCATTTATACATCTACGATGGTGCTCATGCGGTCAGCAGTTACAAGGTAAGTGCCTGTTTAATTGTGAAATAGTTTTCGTGGATCCGTCGTTTACGAAATGTAACCATGATCTACATACATCGAAATTGAAAATTCAAGGATAAACGTCAAATCCCTGGTTAAGCGAAAATTTGCATCCTCCAAATGTACACGTAGTTTCGAACTAGCATAATTATGAACAAGTTATCGTTTACTGTTGTAACATGGGAATTAAATCAGCTGAATAATTTTGCGTTGAAATAAAATTCTATTTTTTAGTTTTATAGGATTATTTGAAAATGAGATAAAAAATTTGTATTATTTGCAAGTATATATCAATTTTATTTAATAATGATAGAGTCTTTAGAACAGAAATTAAATTTAAAATTTGTTGAAATCAAGATTTGGAATTATTAAAATACCAGGACTAAAATTTCGATTCCTAGTCTAGCCCAAACATTATTAAAATTGAGAATTTAAAATTCTTTGTTCTATGATCTTTACAATTATCCAGTACAAAAATGAAATATTATATTTTTGTAATTTTTCAAAAATCTTCAATTTCATATCTTACATTTCCATCACCATTTAGTTCTTAAAAGTGAATGAATCTTTCCTACTGCTTTAATGGGAAAAGAGGGTGACAACATTGGTGGGGTCAAAATGATTCTTCTCCCCTCTGTTAGGGGTAAGGCTGTCCATGGATGGTTTCAATCTGAAATCTCAGTCAAAATGCAAAAAATCCGCATGGTTAGGTTGCGACAATCGGTGTTATTGTTCCTCTCTTAATTCTTTCCAAGAGAGAAAACAGCGAGATTGAAAGGATTCGTTGATATGAAAGGACTCTTGGCCTAATCACTGCTACTAATAATGAAAACGGCTCCTAACTCGAAGTCGCTGGATGAATTTGTTCCTTTGTCTTCTATCGGCACTTTCGAAGCGTAATTGCCATCATCGATCAAAAGATGAGGCACTAATTGCAGGGAGGAACGACGTTATTTTTCCATGATTAGCGGTCGATGAACAATGGTGTCGCGAACTAAGGGTTCGAGTTTCAGTTGCGATGGACCATTTTAATGTATTCCTTCATTATAAATTCCGAACCGTCGTCGCCTAGACGTTAGAAACTTACACCATTAATCAAGATTCGTTTCTTGATGGTGTGGAAGTATGCTTCCGTATCTTGGCTGCAGCTTTGCTTTTGTTCATCAATATAGTGACTCGATCCGAAATCATTTCAATCTTTGTTCGTTCCGATAAATATAATGAAAATTTTGAAAATAATTCTACTACTTAAAGTTGACGAATTTATTATATAGAAATTAATATTTAATTTTAACGTGATTTGAAATATACGTAATGAAGTATGGTAATAAGTTTTCTGTAAAAATGAAAAAAATTGAAGTTTCTATCGCTTGGATGAAAAATGAAGTCACCGTTGGTCCTATTTCATTTTTTTTTCTCTTCCATGAATTCGAAGTCCTATAAAAGAGAAGTACGTTCTGTGAGTTAGTCACGCGATGTCGTAATTTTCGATGGATTAGGAACTTTAATCCTGTCAATGCTTTTATTTGACGATGAGTGCCTATTTTTAAGTTGGCTCGTAAGTTCACCATAGTATAACATTAAAGAATTCATTATGCTGAGTCATCTGTTATTAGGTATTTTATTCCAATCAGAATTAAAAAATTTATTTCAGTAAAATTTTTCTGTTAAATAATATTATAAATCTTTCTAAAATAGATTGTGGAAAGAGCATTCAAAAATTGGATTAAAATGTAGTAAAAATAATAATAGAGTTGGGACAATGGGTTAATTAAAATTATTATTAGATGTATGAATTAATTATTACACCTTTTTAATTACAATTTTAATTTCGAATATTTTTACATTTTCATGGATTTAATATTCCAGTGATAAGTAATCCAAGATAAATTTAAAAATAAATTTTCAATTAAAGATAAACCACCGGTTTAATTTATATCAGAAAACAAATTTACACCCTGTCAACATTTTCAGGTATTTGCTTGTATAATTTTTAAAATATTATGACAATCCTTTTGTGCAAATGAAAAATTCATTAGAAATGTTAATTTATAGCTACTCGCAACCAGGCGGCTATTTTTGCAAGCAGTGAATAATGACAATAGCTCGTCTTGTAACTTATGAAAACTAAACATTAACGACTGAAGTCTTAAAATATCTTTCCACCGTGAATTAGCACATTCTTCGTCTTTTTCATTTGTGTCCGTGTGTTTTCTTGCACAACTGTATCCTGAATGAAATACAAGGATATTCTTCATATGTGTGTGTAACGATACAGAAAGAAAAGCCAGAGAGCAATGTAATTTTGCATAATAGCGGTTTAACTTTAATCTTTTTTATGGTGTACGTAATGGCCCGTTAAGCGCACCCTTTATTACTCCCTCTGCCCTTTCCTCACTCCCCCTCTCCTTTTTTTTAAGTAGCTTCACGCACCCTTCCCTTTTCTCTTCTTCAGCTGTTTTTTACGCTTTTGAGGGAGATACTTTAATTTCGTAAGCTTGAAAGATTGTTTCGTAAGATTTTCAGGGTGAAATATGAATACATAATTAAGTTGATGAATTAGGGGGATTTCATTTTTACGGAAATTTGCTTTAAAAACATAAATATACAGTGTAATTGAATTACTTGAATGTAATTTAATTTTTTAATATTTTATATAGATGGAATACAATTGTGTAAATTTGTTTCTAAAAGAAGATTGGAATAGTAATTTAATTGCTGAATTACTTGATTAAAATTTAATTTTACTTCGTGTAGGGTGTTTTGTTGTATTTTCCACGGTATTTGCAAAGAATCTTTGTGATTTTACGTTTATAATAATCTACTTAAAAGAAATTATATTAACCCTTGGACAGCGGATCATGGAGAGAGCCCCAAATTTTAATGTAATTTTGTATTTCATATCGTTTTCATTTTTTAAATTTTATACTTTTTTTAAAAATGATTCTTCCAATATATGCAAGTAAGAATCAGAGTCATTATTCGCTTCTAGTTTTCGATTCAACTTGTTGCTGTTTATTTTATTTTACAAGTTTATTTTCTCTGATTTTTCCACGATTCTTAAATCTCCCACTGTTTACACGAGTCAAAAGCGGGCAAACTTTTCTCGGGATTCCATCGTGAAGGAATTCGTCGGTGAATTATCGTGAAAAATCGGGCCAAGAAGACGAAGGGATGGGGCACCCTTAAGGACGCCTGCGCGACGTTAAAGCCGCGAAATATCGACTTTTTCATGCGTTCCATCTTTCATAGAAACCGGGGACGATAATCGCGAGTAAAGTGGAGCGTGTGCTATTATTTTGAGGTCGCGAACCTCTGTCTTCCTCTTGTACCCAAATATTGACAATTAAAATCATGAAGACTAAACCAAGCAGTAAATTAAAAAACCGTATCATTTGCATACTTACAATTAGAAAGATAATAAAATTTAAAAAAAATAAAGGGCACTTTAACTCATTGTGTAGATTTCCATTTGATAAAAAATGAAAAATTCTTTTAGCAAATTATTATGCACGTTCTAATGTATTAGAAGGTGTTACTTACATTCTGCAGAAATGATAGAAAATGAATTTTAAGAGGGATATGTTATGAGAAGCTTGCTCGAGCGTTTCTTTTTGAAACGTATGAAATCCACTCGCGAGCAGAGACGCGACCTGTCGCCACGGAGACAAGCGGATTTAGCAGCTATTTGGACAGCACAATGGGACATCATAGAGGCGTTTCACGCCTGGTAATATCCTCGATGTCACCATGACGACAGGGCTTGCGTAACAGCTTGTGTTCTTGTCACCAAGGTGGCCCACGACTTGAAAGGAAAAATTTATCATTCTGATTTTGACTACTTCTGGGCTATTACTATAATTCACGGAAATTTTCAGAAAAATTATGATTACTTAAATATAATGGTAACGGAGTTAAGAAATGCAAATACATTAGGGTCAACATTGAATCTAACACACATAGGCACCTATGCTTTCAACGTGCAGCATTAATTTATATTTATAAAAAGAAATAAAAGAAATTAATTAATCCTCTATAACTGAAGGTTTCTATGTTTGCATAAATAAATAATGAAATATCCTTAGAAATATTTGTATTTCTAATTCATAACAAGATTCCAAAGTGCAATCTGTGTTTTATTATTTTGAATGATTTCAAAAATCAAAAAGAAAATATTCAATTTATCTTCGATCAATTTTCGAATAGAAGTTTTCAATTTGGTAAGAGTATAATATTAACTCTCTCCAGAGCTTTCTTCTCTTTTGTGCTATTCATTATTCAATTATGCAAAATTTGACGAGCACACTGATCAGCGTATTAATAATTGTGCGGGTGTATCGTGTATATCAGAAATGGTCAACGTTCGTCAAAATTGAAGAGGTGCAATTTCTCGCGATATCGGAGCCTAGATAGTGTAAATCTGATACACCGACAGCCTGGAAAATGCAATTCGAAATGCGATGCATCGAAACGGTGCACGATGTTCGCTCGATGACGATAAGCACACGTTTCAGCTACAGCATAAACGTAAATGCTCGGTGAATCCTCTAGCAATGATAGCATCATCTTGCACAGCAACTCTATTTCTGTTTCATTCGTATGCACGTCGGACTACAAATTGCTAACACGTGACGCAACTGATCATTGTTTGACGGATTGATTACTTTCAGATAAACATAGAATGCTTCTAATATATACAACAACGGTTCTCTTAAACATTTGGATTGACCCCTTCCAAAACTGGACTCCTTCATCATTTTAAAACTGTATGATTCTAAAATTCCAAAGTTTCAAATTTTGAAATTTCACAATTTCAAAATCCCTCAATATCATGTGCTCGATTGCCAAATCTTTAATCGCAGAAATAAGTGTGACCGAAAATGGTATACGTGGCACCAAACGTGTTAACGAAACCATTTTGAATCAATAATACACTTGATATTTAATGCCAAAAATGGTAACCGATCTGAAGTACCAGCATGAAGTGGATCCTTTATAATGAGCTTCATTACTTCAACCTCTGAGATACATAATTTTATAAGGCTAGATTAGGAGCTTTGACTCTGGAAATTCTGCCCGCATGATGCTTGTTCACCGGAAACGTAAATTTTAACAAATCGGCGAAACAGTGATATAGGAAATTGCAGAGCAAAATTATGTAACAAGTTTATTTAAAGGAAAGTTAGGAAAGCTAATTATATAATGGATTAATTTTGTCAAGTATTGAATTGTAGGTAACTTTGTCGCACATTTTAAAGGACATTGCAAATTCAATAGTTGTTAATAGAAATCGACCTTAATAAATGGTTGTAGTGGGTCGAAGAGAGTTGAAGAGTTTGGCAAGGTGTCGTAAAGAGTTAAGCCGTTTATCGAGTTTGGTTTCGGGAGAGCTTTTGTCGAAGCGATTTCGTTGGCACGAATAACGATAACACGGTTTTAAACTTTCCCAACGGGCTAGATATCGCTTTCGTGAAATTGCCAATTGTTTGCCATGACGTTTCGAAACTTTTCTGCGGTCTGTAACGAAGAAGAGTGACGTTAAGAGTTCAGAAGTTATCATTTAACCGATTGATCTTTCATCGACTGCAGTCTGAGATTCTTGTATCACTGTATTTTATAGTGTCACAAAATAGCAATTTGAAACGTTCCTTCAGTACCTTTTAACTCTCAATCTATCGTATAATTAAAATGGTTAGTTATGTATAGTTTACCATTTTCCTGTACAATTATTAGTTCGAAGAAAGATCACTGCCTCCTTGCTTCAAAAATCTTGGTTCATTTCTGCTATTACCAACTTCTTTGATATTTGACCCGGTGACTTTTCACGATATCATATCTGTTAAAAATCTGTCCGTCATTTCTGTCGATCACACGATCTGAAAAGCAATGGCGGTAAATTCAGTGAAATTTCGGATCCCATAGGAAGCGAGATTGAACCATTAATCAGAATGATGAAATAATTCATCGAATCCTTCGAAGCCCGTTTATACATTCAGCTGGAAAGGATATTTCTTTCTGTCGCAAACTTCTTGATTTACTGTTCAAATACGATCAAACTTATTATGTGAAAGTAGAATGAACGTATTTTATTATAATATTAATTGACAGTTAATTGTTTTCTTTGCATGATTTTATCTATTTTATCTATTTTTGAAAAAGAGCACTTTGTTTCTTGTTAATAGTTTTGATACATTATTAACCCTCGAACGGCAGACCATGGGGAGTGCCCTAATTTTAATTTAATTCTAATTTTTACACTGATCCTCTGAAAATTATTCTTCCAATATATGAAACTCTTTCGTTTAAAAATTCTACATTTAACCTTAGGTAACAGACTCCGCTGTTCAAAGGTTGATGAAAGTATTTTGTGACATTTTTAAAATCATTGGAATTGTAATATTTATAATATTATATTAATATTCATGGATTTAAAATGAAACTAATAAAATGGGACAATATGTTGAATTGTTTAAAGAAAAAAAATAACACGGTTCATGATGGCAAGATTCATGAGTTTCCTTTATACAAAAATAGTATCATTACATTTCATGCATCATTTATCAGTATAATGATTCTTTCAGCTATTCAACGGTATTAATTTTAACATTAAACGGTAATCGTTTATTCCGAGAAATCGTAATAACGATCGAACAAACACTGCTATTTCTCGGGAAAGAACCAACTACATGCAAAATTAAAGTTTCATAAACAGTCAGTGTCTCGTTATTTACGAAACGAATACACACGTTGAGATTACGCAATGCTTGAATAATCCAGCAATTTATTTCAGACGTGTGGTGTTATAAACGATGGATACTCCGAAATAAAGGCAGATGAAGGATTAAAAAGATTAAATTGGTAACTACAAATAAATGAAAATAATTTAAGAAAATAAATGTATAATTTATAATGAGATATTATATTACAATATTAAAATACTGCAATTAAGTAATGCAGTTCTTATTTAATATGAATTAAAAAGGGTAGTTGATGACACAAAATGTGTAATGTGTTTTTTTGGACAAATTTAATGTGCTGCAATGAAATATCATAATTAAGCAGGCAAATTTCATTAAAAAATACCTTAATTAATAAAGCATATTTCATTATACTCTATTTAGTTATAATTCCAAATTAAAGTCTTTGAAATACCTAACAAATTAAATCTTATATTTAACTCTACATTTCATTGAAAAATTCATTTATTAATAAAGTGTAATTTCAATTTCATTAACAAACACATTAGATAATGAATCATATTTTTATCCCAGTATTTCTATAATGGTAATGGTACGATCTATTATAATATTAAATTAGAATTTTTGAAATATCTAAGAAATGAAGTTCCATGTTTAAATCTAAATTTCACTGAAGAACACTTTAATTATTAAATCATATTATAGTTACATACATAAGTACCTATGTCTATAAGTAATCATCGTTTTAATAAACGTAATTAATCGAAGTTAATTACAGAGTGTATTGAATAATAAGATAATATGCGTATAATATGCAGGCGGGTTGTAATGAAGATTGAATTTTTATTTTTTTGATGGTGGAAGAGGAAGGAAAAGACAGTGGCCGTAAAGTTTCATTGAAAGCATTATCGGAAATTGCTTAAGAAGTTTCTTTAATAACAACTTTGTTGGGTATTAACACGAATTATTTTCAACTTTTCAGTCTTATCAAACCTCGCTTCCGAACTTTTCTTAAGCATCTACACGATATAATACTTGGCCACAACAACTTTCCATCTGATTTCTGTCGATAAATACAGTGAAACAATTGAGAAGTTTGGGACAGGGAATGAAAATAAAAGAATATCATAATTGACTATTAATCAAACAAGAGATTATTATAATAGCAGCAAGAATCCCAAACTGCAAATTCTAATTTTATTATTCCCTCACTTTTCAACTTGTTCCAAATATTGATAAATATATTCCATAACTTTAATGTTAACTTTTTTTTAATGAAAAAATATTATTTTTAAAGTAGCCAATGGAAAGTTTGAATTATAAATTTTTAAAATCAACTATTCGTTTCAATGATGAGTCAACATGTTAATTACTAAGAATACTAAGTCCCCAATTTGCAACTTTATTATCTGACATTATAAACCTAACAGTAATGCTATCAACAAAATTTTTCCCTTTCTCCATATTAATTACAAAATTATATTAAATTAGTGGTGGTAAATTTTTTTCTTCACTATTTCCTATTTCATTTTATTGTATTTATCTTCCTTCCTGCGTTCATGTTTCGTCGTCAGCCTTCGTACGTAACACGTTCATGTATGATAAAACAAATGATTCTCCCACTTAGAGAATCTTGACCTAGGAATTCCCCTCTCTATTCTTTGGAGTGTCGCGTTGTTTTCCTGGACTTGAGTACGATCGAAAGTATAAAAGACACGAGACACGAAGTTGTTTGTACAGTCGACTCAAGATGATGGCACGAAATTGTGATTCATGTTCGTTTGTTCTGAGATGCGTCTTTTTGACGTGTCTCGTCATTCTTCATGCCGCAAAAGGAGGTGAGATGGATCAGTAACTAGGAATTTTGATTGCTGATGAGTGAAAATTAAGTTTGTAATTATTATGCTAGTTAAAAGGATCATTAGCTGGGAAATTGCTTACTTATGAGTCATTTCAAAGAAATTTTTTTTATACTCTTTACTTAATTACTTTTTATGATTTAAGTATATAGTTATAACATAATAGTTAAAGTATTGAAGGATCCTTAATTAAAAAATTGATTATTAAGGAGAGGTTTGAAAGCAGTTAATTAAGGGTATAGACACTCAAAAATTGTATGATATTTTATCTAATCTTCTAATTTGAATTAGGGTTGTGATTAATTATTCTGATATTAAAGAATCATTCAACAGCTTTCTGATATTCTTTATGCCACTTTATCCAATTTATTTGATTCAAATTAAATCATTCACGTATCATTAGCAAAAAGAGGTGATTTTCATATTTTATGTTTGCTTTCCAAAGAAAGTTGCGATAAAACAAAATGTCCTGGCCCTCTGAGATATTACAAGGAACTCGGCTGTACTCCTGTATATAAGAACCCTGATGACTGTTGCGCTGAGGAATACGACTGTAGTCACTTGAAAAGTTTGTCAAAGGATAAGTGTTATGCAAATGGTCATGAGTATAACATTGGTGATAAATTAAGAGACGAGGATGCGAATCCTTGCGACGCTGAATGCAGATGTAGGTCGTATGAGGATCGCGCGTAAGTACGATTCAGTACTATAAAATTAAATAAATACTCTCAAATTTCAAATAAAATATACTAGTGAATAATTTTGAACGATTAACGATAAAATGGAATAAATTATTTCGTTAAAATTCAGTTGAATAGTATAATTAAAGAAATAGCTCTATGCTGTTCTTTCAGTAAATCTTTGGTCCACATTTCGTACATTTCTTAAATTCACAAAGTTTATAGTATTTTATTCTAATTTATAAACAGTGCCAGTTTCGTTTGCGCGGCTCTCGATTGTGGTATAGCCTTCACACCTGGCTGTTACAACAAAAACTCGGTTGGTCAATGTTGTCCAGGACCACTTGTTTGTCGTGAGTAATTGACAAGTACAATCATTTATAGCTATGAAAGAGACAAAAGAAAAGAAACAAGAAGCAAGAAATCATGGCTTCATAGATCAGATTATTTTTATGTACCAAGTTTAGAGATACATAGATAGTGATTTTGCAAATATATTAGATGAAATTCTAATTAAATGTAAACGAAGATAATTCTTTTTATATTTTTTAAAAAGGATTCTTGTAATTATATTTCATTTATCTATTGTCTTTTGTAGTATGATTATTTTTGCAGTTGAATAATTAATTTTGCATCATTTAGTAAAGAAGTAATTAGCAAATATACCTATAAAACAGTGAATTTCAACGAATTCGATTATGTTCTTTAGCCGAGAAGGGGGAGGAAAGAGCTACTTGTGAAGTAGATGGGAAAATTTATATGGATGGGGAATTCTTCAAACCTAATTCTTCTGACCCGGACTTGAGCTGTTACTGTCAGCCAGGATATAAAGGTATAAAAGAGTTGTGTGTCTCTGGTACCTATAACAATTTAGTGATTGTGTTTCAATTGTATTTCTTGTTAGAATTTCTTCGAATCGAATAGTCTTGTTGCAGATTTCAAAAGTAATTATGGTTCTGTACAATTTTGATTATTTCTTTTAAAATAGTTATTTTCAGATTACATATTTTAAATTCTAAAGTGGTTGCTTTAGAACTTTTGATACTAGTTGCTTTTAAGTAAATAATTATTAACAGTATTTGCTGTTAATTTGCATTGACTTTAATTTCGCGTTCAGGTGAAAACGTGGAACCCTTTTGCAAGATGCCAAATCGCAGTTATTGTTCTCCCTTATTCCGGAATGCACCTGCTATACACCAAAATTGTGCACCTGTGTTTTACAATAACCAAAATCCACAACAAGATTGTAGCTATGCTTCAAGATGTCGTAAGTTAACGATAAAATATTCCATTCCTTTCAAATAAGGTTTCGTGGATAAGTATACAAAAAAATACACATATCTTAATTATTGCAGAAAACGCGAATGATACCGTTATTCATAAACACGAGAGTGGTAAATCCCTTTCTGAAGAAGGTACGTCTAATTAAACATGTGTTTAATTGTCACTAATTTTTTTACGTCCACAAAGTAATCATTACTAACATTCCTCTTAACTTTTTATTTATATTCATCGTTAAAATTAGACTGAAACTAATACCATTTATGTTCCTGAATAATATTACAAGTGTACTTTTGCCTACTTCAAATTATAAGAGTTTCTAACTAAGTAAAATTCAAGTGCCCGAGCCTCGGACCGGGTCGAGTCGGGTCGGGATCGGGTAATGGCTTGATCGGGTCGGCAATCTTTTTCGGAGTGTCGCCTCACCCGACTCGGGTGATTATTCGATCCGACCCGAAGTTCGGGTACCCCCATTTTCACACTCTTAATAGCTTCTAATATTTCGTTCCAATGTGTTATGTATTAATCTATAAAAACTGGAGGAGTCTGTGTGATTTAATGAATATTGGATTGGATAAAATCAATATTCTTCGGGTTTTTCAGACAATAAAACATGTCAGTTTGGTGACATGAAGATGCACATAGGTGACGAACTTAATCAAGGAACAAACTATGATTCCACTTGCGTGAAATGCGTGTGTGAAGTGCCACCTTATCCTACATGTCAACGACTTCCGGACAATGAATGCGATGTCACAGATCATGGCCTGTTTATCAATTTGTAGTTTTGGCTTGGATTATTATCAGATCGTAGATGTTTGTATATTTGTAGAATACTATAGTGCATAAAGAGTACTCATATGTACAAAACAAATTACCAGAATGATAAAATGATATTTGAAAATAAAAGATAAGGTATGATATAAAGAAATCTTCTTTGCTGACAAATAAGTATTGCATTTTGGAAAGTAAAACATTTATCATAAAAATTAGTCTAACGAACTTCGTAATCATTGATCGACCGTTGGTAAACAACCTTACAATTCATTTCTTTCAGTGCACGTAAATCTATACCGAGTGGAATATTAATTCTAAACCATGGTTACCATCAAATTTTCAAGGCTTTTCTTATGATCATTATGTACCCCTTTTTTTTTAAAGAAATACATTTTTATAGTTTTCACGTTTCAGAAGTGTACAAACAATATCTCAAGGGAATCGACAAATACTTTATGTTTTCAATGTTACGTTTTTCTATCTTATCCTTTCATGCATATTTCAGTTTTCCCACGTCTCGTGGTCCTATTTTTTTCTTTTCTTTTCGAAGGCAACTGTACATGCAGAAATGGAAAGTCGAACCTTTGCACATCTTATCTGTTTTCGACCTTTTTTCCTCCACGTTATTCGATTTTGCTTATTCTTCCTTTCCTTGCTTTCTTACCTTCCACATATTCCTCGTCCTTTTATCGTCACACGCTTGATAAAACTCTAGCCGGAACGTATGTTAACAAAAGGTGAAAAATTTCTTCTTTTAAAGTGTCTCTTTACGACGAATCGGTTTGATTCAAATCTAAACTGAGAGAAAATGTTCCTCAGTTGAGAGAAAAGCGAGAGAAAAAGAAAAAAATTAAATGATCAAAATATTTTGTAAAAGCTGTTTAAAGTAAAGTATTATAATACGTAAAATTCAAGTTGATTAGTTATTAGTGTTGTTAATTTACGTGATAGAATTATCACATTATCAACAAAAAAAGGAAACGAGGGAACGAGTTTTCTTTCCTTTTACCTTTGTTACCCACGGAAAATCCCGAAGGGATATCCATATACGTAGCCCCGTCATTTGCAATTTGACAGACGTTAATTGATATTCCGAGCGACCGGAAACGTCGTTCTAATTCAAATGGCAGGGAAGTCGTAACATTTACCATTCAGTTCGATCCGAGGAACTGGTGTGCAAACTCGATCTATGGATGAATCGGTTGTAAGAATCACGTTGGATGAATTGATTGGCTGATTGATCGGCGTTTCGCATTTAGATCTTCAGGCTAGAAATAGATTCGACCTGAACGGGATAATAGGGACCCTATCTATAACTGCCTGTGGACTAACCCAATCCATTGTCCAGGTTAATTTATACCCGAACGACGAGGTGAATGGTGACGCACAGAAGCTCGATGACCTGAAGTAAACTTACTTCGTGGTAATTAGTAAACTGCGTGTGTTTATGAAGTTATGATACATCAAACGTGAGATAAATAGCGAAAGAAACCATCACTGGCATAACTAGGTAGGTGCCAAGGTGAATCTGGCGCCCTTATTATTTTGAAATTTTTAAATTTTAAAATTCCAAATGTTCGGAATTTCCTCAAATCAAATAATCTTCTGATAATTTTAAGATATCATCTAATATTTACATATTTTTTGACAATGAATATATTAATTTATTATAACATAGAGCAAAATAAATGTCATATAATTTAATATCATTAAGGTATAGAAGATTTAAATGTTTCATTCAGTCTTAATATTGCTTCCCATTAATATTTATTCATGATTCCGATCCATTCTTTAATTTCTCGTGTTCATTCACCTTTCGTCGAGAAAAGAGGAAGATCAGGTCGCGAGATGCAATTATGATAAACCTGAAAGCTTCTTTCGAGAGCTTTTTCAATGGTATCGCGATCTCGGAAAAAAAGAGGATGACCGTGCTGGGAACGTTTTGACTCGACCGCGTTTTAATCTATATCCCTCTCTATTTCCTGTTCTCTTTACCTTAAGTCTGGCATCGCGAGTGATGAGCTTTCGACTCCTATCCGTGAATTCGCGTGAAAAGCGTTCGGTGTTCTAGTAATGTCAAGAAAGAATGAAATCAAATTCGAAATTCGCCTGACAGATAATCGATTGAACTCATCAACTACTATGCATTGAATTTTTCATAATTTTAAAATTTTCCACAATGGAATGATGGTCTGAAAAATGATGGATTTTTTCAAATAAAAATTCAATTTCAGTAGTTTATATTTCTTTCTTTGTCACTAGTGTTCTATTAAAAAAATACCTATTTTTACTTTACAAGATTATGTTTTACATACAAAATATTAAAAGAGAATTCACTTAACATTTTGTAACATTATATTTACAATATGCTATTTTAATTGATAAATAAAAAATTCTGGTTAAATAATAGCCACATTTTTCTCTTGAGATAGTTTTATCGAAGAACGTATACTCGGAGGAATATTCTCCATTATTTCTCTAACGCATCGTTTTTATTCAAAATAATGGCAAAATATATTTTCCCCAGTGAAGGCTCGTAACACAATTCTATCGTGCATATGGTGTCGTGGAGCTTATGGTGGAAAAATGTATCCCTGGACACCGATCGGTCGCGGTTAAAGAATGGAACTTCCGTTCTTTTGAAACAAATATCATTTTCTTGCAATCAGAAGCTTAGAAGCTTCGCATCGAAATAACATTTTTCTCGAAGTTTAATATGTATTTTCATCCTTTATTGCTTCATTGTTGAAAATTTATAGAAACGTTATAAAATTCAATCGAAGACACGGCTTTAGTGCGATAGTCGACCTTTTAAATGAATGATATTTTAAGAGAAATTTCTGAATGGGTGATTCTACGTGAGCTATTCTAAATTTACAAAGACGATTTAACTCATTATACTTGAAATAAATGAAACCATTACAATAATAGAGAACTGAAAGACAGATTTTCTTCAATAGAATAAACGAACACTGGGAAACTGGAAAATATAATGATAAAATGGGGATTATGTCGTCCTTAAAAAAATAAAAATTGGTAATATTTGTTTAATTTATAAACAGTTCGTCATAAGTACAATATTAAGCTTTTATCCTTATGAATGTTAAGGGGTTTCATAATTTTGTTCACCAATATATGAATTACTCTTAAATAACAACAGGGTTAATCACTAATAAGAAAACAAAAATTATTACTTCTTTTTCTTCAAATCCCATTCAGGGTATGTACACTTGAATAAATTCTGCAGAAATCCAATTTCTAGAGTAAATTGTTGTCGTTGAACCAGGCGTACGTTTAATTTCATTAACTTTTTGTACACACTTCCGATGTTACGACTGGCGTGACACGGTGTGTTAGCCCCAAAGTTAAACGCAACGAAGTCACGACAGCTTAATCTACTTCAGAATTTTCCTTTCAACATGTATTTGTTAAGTGAACGTTGCCGTTGATGCGAAATTTAATTTCGTTGAACGGCTTTGATTAGCATTTACGGTGGTCGTCGTAGCCAATGCGGTTCCTCGTTCACCAGCCGGATGTTAATAATCGTCGTCGAAAGATGCGCCTGTTACTATAATGGTCTGGCGATATCATTAATTAGAAGTGTCGTTCCCCGTAAGCCTGTATAATGCCTCTTTCACTCGATAGACTTTCTTCACAGTGTCCAGTCACGCGAAATTTCGGAACTTCTCGAAATTGCATACGATGCTTTTAAGCTTAATAGAGTGGAATTTCATTCATTAACGCGTTGACTGGCAGTAGAAAAATAATGCAGCTTAGCAAGAATATCAACGCATTGATTTTCCATGGAAATGCATCAGTTTATTTTTTAATTTTATTTTATTTTATTTCTCAATTTATTTTGTAATTTATTTTTTTATTGTTTTTTTTAATCAATTGGTAACTGTTATTTAATTATGATTAAGATATACAAGAAACAAACTAATGCATAGCAGTCAATGAGTTAAAAAATAGTAACAGAATTTTGACTTTTCCTTTCCACCCTAACGAACAAAAAATTGACAAAAGAAAATTCTCCTTTAATTAGACTCGTCGAACAAAGTCTAACAATGTATAGAAAGGTCAGAGCGCCTCGAACCACGAAAGTCCGTACAAAGTCAGTGAACAAAGTCCTGATTCTGCATTTCTCCGGACAAAGAGGTAAGACTTGAAACGAGCAAAGACTCCGGGTCAGAGACGAATGATTAGACACACGCTGGCAGAAACGATAGGCCAGAACTGGACCGGCTGATCTGCATTTATATATACATAGCATCCCTCTAGTGTATACCGCATCAAATAGAATGGCTTTGGAAACGTCGAACGCGAGTTCCTTCTTCTTTATTTCCACCACCGAGACTTGGCTGAAAGAGCCTCGAGCTTGCGACAATGGCGGCTTAAGGCGGCTTCCAAGAGGCTCGCAAAGGAGGAAAACCCTGTCCTGAGGGGACAAGGGTGTATTGTCGTTGGGCGCGAACAGCGAAATCCTTCTTTCTCGAACGCATGTAGGTCAGCTGAAGTAATAAGCGTATACAGGGTGTTTCAAATGAAAAGGATTTTCAAGGTAGTGGATAGGTACTATAAAATCAGGTGAATAGAAAGAAAATAGCAAGCTTTAGGTAATAACGTAGGTTCAGATAGTAGGAAATTATTTAATAAAGAATGTAATAAGAAATGTTTTGACAAAATATCTTTAAAATATTTTGGAGTTAATAGAAAGAAACTCTTTAGATCATAGCAGATTATTTATTCTTTGAAGGATATTTATTGTGATCTTTTAATTTTTGCAATCCGAGTTAAACGATTATTTTTAAATACATAAAAGAACAAGGCTACTTAAAATCTACATACTGGCATGCAAATTACCTGGTGAAATTTTGAAGGTCAGTATTTATATGAATCGTGTTTGAAATCGGAAGAAAACTTGAAGTGTTTCAACAATTAATTAGAATATCATGTTCTCCTTGACACGAATGCGAAATCTTTCTTGGCATCGAAGGTCGAAATTTAATTTCTTTCTTTTCGTTGACAAAAATCATAGAAATTGAAATGCTGCTTAAAAGAGAGCCAAAAATTTGATTTGTTTAGAACAAAAATTTATACAAGAGTAGTAAACTAATTAATACAAGTATTCTTATTTTTTATATAAATAACAACACTTTATTTAACAGTATTTAAATTATTATATATTTATCTAGAAAGTGATTTTATGTCAAAAACATTTTGTTCTCCTTTCATTATAATCGCTTTAATTTATAAATATCTGCCGAGTTGAAATTAATTTTTTTCTTAGAACATTTTATAATTTTTCATCGTAATTAAAACTAAACAATAGAGGATGCTGTTTTTTCATCGCTGCATATAAGCATACACCCACGGTAAAAACCGGATGTCGTGAATCCCTTTTAACCACTTTCAAGCATCCTTTGTCTACTTTTTCCCGTGGTTTAATCTGCCGTACGAAGATC